AATCTTTATAAGGTGGGTGTAGTTCAATGGTAGAACAGCTGTATGTGGCATAGTATATCCTAGTTCAATTCTAGGTACCCTCCCTATATAACGTTAATATATATATATATATATAATGTTATTTTTATAAAATAAAATTCGTTTTAACGAATAAAAAAAAAAAAACTTAATTATTTTTTTTTTTTTTTGTTAAATAATTTAACAAAATATTATATAACAATAAAAAGAGGTTTTTCAACTACATCTGAAAAAAAAGAAGATGTAGCTTCCCTTAAATCTCAAGAGAGTTCAACATTTTTTACATTAAAATTTTGATTTTCAATCTTATTTACATGATGCGGGTAAGCGCGTTTTCAGCTCCCATGCCTCGGATTGCTGTTGCCCGCTTCAGCTCCCATGTCCATCCAGTCATTGAATGGATAGGTGGATGTATGTATGGATGGATCTCACATTGCCAGTGTCTGGACTCTCTCTATCTCTCTTGAGTGGGCTACTAGTAGATACAATTCGAGTTTGTACGAGTAGTTGGAGGAAAAGACACAATGGACGCGCATTCACTCACTCATAACCCAGACGCGCAGCTGGTCTAGACGCTGTTCTATTCCATCCACCCACCCCACTTCCCATATCCATCATATCCATGATATTCATCCAGGCTGGACTGGACTGATCTTACGACGACAGCAGCCATCATCATCATCATCACCACCACCACCACTCATCTACCTAGAAACTCTACGATGGATGGGAGTGCCATGTACGTAGTATGCATGTACGCAGACAAGTAGGTCCCCGAGAGAGGTGCATCTACCCGGGTTCTGAAGTGTTTCCAATGCCAATCCCAGTGGTCAGGTCTGGGTCAGTTCATGTCATGTCATGTCAATGAGGCTTTCCCGCAGGCTGTGTGCTTGTTGTGTTGGCACCGCTCTGCACTGCGTTTTCCCCGGTCTATTATTAAGATACTTTTTTCTCTTTCCTCTCTCGCTCTTCGCTGTCTTTGGTCTCTATAATTCCCCGCTCCACTTTGCCCCGACAGTTTGCTCAGGAACATTTGTGATTGGCGATCCCTGCCGTATATGCAGTTCCCTTTCTGACTTGCTACTACCCCTCCGATCATCATCTCTAAACATCACACCTGCCCCTTCTCCTTCCCCTCCTTCCTGATGTATGGGATGAATATCCCGGACACATGGTCCCTGGTGGATGAGATGAGATGAGACGAGAATACTTCCGTATAGATGCACCGTAGGAACCCGGTCAGGTAGTGTTTCTCTCTCTTCTTTTTCTCTTCTCTCCGTGTTTCATCGAAACACAAAACTCCCCTTGCCAAACGACACTATCCGACCAGTCCAGCCACCCACTCACCCGAGTCAGTGTCCGGTTGACAGGATGGCCAGACATTGAGTATATAGTCGACAAATGAAACACTAGGCAAGGAGGGACGGGGTAAATCGTAAAACTGAAAAAGAAAAGAAAAGAAAGCAAAGGAGAGACAGGAGACGCAGAGAAGGAGGGGTATACACGTCCATTGGGGAACCAATCAACCCACTCAATTGGCCGACAAGACCACTCTCTCGGTCTGTGACTGATCTTTTCATGATTTCTTCTTCTTCTAAACGCCGTGCTCCAAACACAACCGTAACCAGTCCCCTGGTTATGCGTTGTCCTTCCCGGGGGCCAAAATTGCCAATCCCCGGCCACGGCTAGTTGCAGACCCATTTTTTGTCAGCCTCTTTCTGTCCCACCCGCGTGGCCACGCTGTTCAGCGTGTCTTTCAGACTGTCTTTCGAGACCTTAGGGAACCTATGGCGGCGCAACCCTGATGATTAGCCTTCCGATCAACAAGCATCCCTTGTGGGCC